ACAATAGAGCTGCTGCCGGGGACGCGGGGGAAGCGGTGGGACGTTCAGCCAATGTTGCAGCGAAGGCGGCCATAATCTGGTGTGGCGTCCTCGTCATTCCCCAACCCGATTCTGTGGATAGAGCTCCAAAATCTTTTGAATACTGTTCTTTCTGCATACCCTAATAAGAGTGTTTCTCTTGGTGGATAGAATCCTTTTCGAAAGTTTTTTCCTTCCGCAGGGAACGATAATGAAGATGACGACCGCGGTCGACGTGGAAATGGCTTTAAAAGTAACGGAGGTTTTGGCAATAAGAATGCGTCCGGCTTCGGAGGAGGCGACGATTATTCGAAAGGAGTAAGTAATATTTCGCAATGTATCACATCCTGTGGGTATTTCGATGTTTTAAAGCATTTTCAGGGAGACCAACAAGGCGTGAGAGAATTCTATTCCAGCGGTATGGCAGAAATTTTCGTTTCCAGCTCCAGTTTTGTTTGATTTATTCTGATTAGTTTCGCTCACCAAAATCGCCAGAAGGCGATGCCATTCTCACGCCATTTCTTTCTTCTTTACCCTTTTTACCGCCATAAGAGGTGGGAAGAGGAGGGGTGCACCAATGACGAAATGTCCTGGGTCCACCGACTCGGCAACCACGAACAGTGCCTTCAAGTTCTTGCCTGATACCGTTGTTGAGTTGACCATTGTTCTGCTTCATTATGCTTGTCTATCCGTAGCCTTGTTTCCAACTTAGTTGTTACAAGTAATAATTTCCTTACTCGAGTATTTGGTGAACAACGATGAATTTGAAAGTCTTCCAGGATCCAAGCAAGAACGCGCACCAAAAGATTGGTCCCCTGAGAACACCGCGATTGAAAAGCTTTTCGAACGTGACGCTATCAATGCGGCTCATTTTGAAAACGAACGGGATGAATCCGTGCAAATAATTGGCGAAGATAACAATGTTGAAATCAGGTGGTGTAATACTGTACTTTTTTCTATATCGTATCTTACAAACAGGGCGGAGCGGGTGACTGCTGCGACATTTGGCCGTGCACCACGGGCGCGATCCCGTGTCAAATGTGTCGAATCCCAGACGGACTCACGCTCGAGCCAGTCGCGCCTTCCACATTGACGTAAAAGGGTCAGTAAATGGGCGTCAGTCTCATCTAGAAGCACAAAAACACTGGATTCCACTTCAGGTGGCCCCGCATGTCATTGTAGAGACCATTTCGCAAACAACACCATTTTCCTGGGTAGAAATGGAATGGGTGCTGCGTTCCAACAAGGCTTGGTCAGAGGGGGGGGGGAAGCGAAGGCTTACTCCTTTATCTTTTCACTTTGCAAGCTTCCCGAATCTCATAAAACAGTGCTTTCCCCCTTATAGGCGATGCTTCCTTACTTATGTTTTCTTCTTGGCGTAGAGATTTTTGAATCGCTCTCAAGGAGTTTTATCCCAAGGTCTAAATATTTTCTTTTCAAACGTTGCAAAATGGACGTCCCTTGGAAGTTGTCATCTGAAACGACACCCGTCCCCTTAACCATTTCTGATCGTTCACTCATCAGCTTGCTGAGTTCTCCAAACTTCCTACCTCTTTTCCCGATTTTTTTAGAATGTCTTCGGTTTCCCCACATAAGGTGTCGTCCAGGGAAAAAAAGGGGAGAGCTGGGGTATAGGTATATGCAACAAGAAAAGCTTCGAAGGCAGACGCGATCCATTTTCCCCC